GAGATTGTTAATCTCAGGGGGAGTTATAATTCACATTTTTTTATTGAACAAAATTTCTCATGTTTTGTCATCATCAAAAAGGGGGAGATTGTAAGAACACAAATTATTTCTTAGTTATATCTCTATGTTTTGATGATAACACTTATGAATTTTGTATTCAAGAATTATATACTCTAAATTTGTTCTAGACTGTTTGCTACAGGAACTAAAGAAAATATTCTTAAAAGAGCAAATTTGGATCTGAACAATGATATTATGAAAGGCTTCAAAGGTTCAAGAGCATCTTAAATAAAGATCTGAACGCTGCTCCCAGAAGAATCTGAATGTTGTCTACTGAAGATTCTGAAGCAGGAGCCTCTAAGAAATAGAAGACTCTGAGAGATCAGAAGCTTAGTCATCAGAAGACTCTGAAGATACTGCGCTGCTTAAGTATTGAGAATCTGATATAGAAGACTCTGCTCTGATAGATTTACACACTCAAGCACACTAGCTGCACATACTCTGATTCAGCTCAATCTGAAGAACATCCAAGACTCTGATAATCCAGAAGATTCATACTCTGGAGATTCTGAAGATCCAGACTCTAATGTTGATAGCTGAACTTATTTTTAGTGAAGAAGATTTGAATATGTACGTTAGCATATCTCAACAGCTCTTTCCTCTTTTATGCTAGACACAAGAACACAGACAAAAAGGTTTTATCTGTGCATTCCATTCTAAGGAAAGTTTCTGCAAAGTAAAAGACAAAAGGCATCAGGCTTTTTCAGCACAGCCTCCAATGTGAAAACAAAAGGCTCCAGGCTTTTCAGCACAACCTTCAACGTTGAGAAGACTTCATGGATCTAAGTGCCTATATAAGGAAGTCCACTCCATCTTCTTCAGTATCGAATTACTTGCAAAAATCACTCATCAAAGCAAAACTCTTAAAGCTCTTATAACTTTATTTTTGCAATAACATTGTTCTTAAACTTAAGAGAAATATCACAGTTATGATAACAACTTATTAAAAGCATTCTCACTCTTGTAATAGTTTTACATTGTTTGTAAAAGGTTTTCCTTAAGAGGATCCAGTTGGGATCAATAGCTCTTGAGAAGACTAAGAACAGTTGTTCTTAGGTGTTACTATTGTAATCAGTTTGATTAAATAGTGGATTAAATCCTTGACTGAGAAAGGCAAATCACTCTTGAGAGGGTGGATTGGAGTAGTTGAGTTCAACGAACCAGGATAAAAATAACTGTGTTAAAATCTCTGATTATTTGTCTTACTTATTCAACCCCCCTCCTTCTAAGTAATTTTCTCACCTTCACCATGCACACGTGAAAATGCACCAATTTCCCTTGTTTTTAATTCAATTCACTTGCTGGGACCTGAAATTGATCATGTGGATGTGATTTGTCCCTTGGTTTGATCACATGGTTGATATTGGATTGCAACTTTTTCACTTGAAATGGCCATTGCTTTGCACGTGAAAATGGTACCAAAACTCTAATACAATGCTTGCATATTGTTTAGTACATCTTTGTGAGTCAAAAAATGGATAAACATGCCTTGTAATGATCCATAATCAATTAATTGCATTTTTCCCCTTTTAAGACTTTTTCTTGAATTCTCACACCAATCTTCAAACCCTAACCAAATCCATGTCAATTGAGTGTTTTATGATGAAATTGGGACCATTTGGAGTAAGTTTCATGTTGGAAAGATTTTCATTTGAAGTGTGCAAAGTGGTGAAATGGACCCATAATGAAAATGACCTATAATCTTACTTTCCCAAAATACCCCTGCCTTGTCAAGCTCATAACTTGAGTTCTACAAATCAGAAAGAGGACTTCTAGGACTTTTTGAAAATCTAAGATCATGAGGAACAACTTTCATGTTGGCCTAAGAGTGAAAAGAAACATCCTTCTAGGTCAAAAATGTCTTGGAAGTTGATTGACTTTTGTTGACCAAAATCACATTCATCTGAGGACCTGTAACTTGTCAGCATCATAACTTTAGCTCCACAAATCAGATGAAAGACTTATAGTACTCAAAATAAAGCTAAGAACATGCTTTACAAGTTTCATGTTTGCATCAAGATGAGATGAAACTTGTATCTTGAGATATGTGGTCTTGAAGTTATGCACTAAACAGGGGATTTTACACTGAGAACCCTAATTTAGTAACTCCTCACACTTTGGATTCTTCTTGACTTGATCTTGGAATAACATCTCAAATGTTTCAACACAACACTCTATGATCACCATGACTTAGAATTGATTCTTAATCTCCTTCAAGTCCACAGTTGACTTAGGGTTGACCAGATGAAAACCCTAGATGCAAAACCTCTGATTGTGGCTTCTTACACATGACACAACAACTTGGACAAGCCCCACAATGGCTACCAAAGCACTCAATGAGCTTCCTCAACATCCCACATCCATAATCATGAATTCACAATCCTCTGATGATCTTCAATTGGTCTCCAAGTTAGGAGATAATCCCCATACATCCATTAACTCTCTCGAAGAGGATTGATCACTTATGGATAACTTTGATGAGAACTCATGCTTGAGTAAACCTCTTGATTAGGCTTGGAAACTCTTGGTAACCTTTTCTTGCTAGGCACACCTTCCTTGATCCCCTGCTAAAATGAACAATGCTTATGCAATGTAAAATGCTAGAATATGAAATAAAACAAAAGCCAGGCAACGAAAAAGGTTGGGCAAATTTTGGGGTGCAACACATGGTCATACAAGTCAGGTCACCTATGAGTGAATGCTTTCGACTAGTTCTTATGAACAGTCAACTAATTTGTTTATCCCGTTTATTTATTTACCTTGGGGTTGATGTTGGTCTCTAGCGATCCTCTAATATTCAATCAATGATGTGATCGAAAAGGAGATCGACGACTACCTTCACAAATCCAGTTGGACTAGCCTCGATATGGCTTACTTTGAAATCGTCGTTGGAGAAGTAATTAAGTTTCTTGTAGGTGGTTTTTTCAATAGATCCCTTTCTGGTCGACATGGATTGAGCCTGGTTTTTCTTTCCTGCTATAATATCTCTAAGCTAATTGGAGAAGCCAGGGAGTTTAACTTGCATAGACGAGCTTAATAAGAACGTCTTCGATGGTGCCCCACACGAAATTACCAAAAAGCTGACGACATATTTCTCTCACATACTCTTTTTCTATCGACGGTTTAGATTTGTTCTTCTGTGAGGGCAATTCATCGAATCATCGAAGGCTAGTGGATCTCCGTCATCATATGCATTCAGATCTGATTTACAGAGATTTAATTGCTAGATCGTACTAGGTCGGAGATTGTTACGAGAATTCTTCCGTCTATGAGGTATCTCATATGCGTTCTGCCAACGATGGAGACTGCGATAACTAAAGACAACTCCACACTCAAGGTTCTGCTTGTCTTCTCGCACCATAGACATCCTAATGCCACTCGATCCTCGTCTCACAATTTAGTATCAATTATTGTTTGGAAGAGGTGCTCCGATGACGGATCATCGATAGTGAAAGATCTAGAATAACTGATGCTGATCTCCGATGTGGCGGCGCGGAGTGGACATGCAAGGTTACCACTCCAACGCTCAAGTCAGTTTAAAATCCAAAATGAGTGTGCTAAGAGTGGAGATCAGAAAACTATATCTTAAATATCACGTGTGTTGACTTTTATATGTTGGATTGTTTGGTTGGACCCATTGAGTTGGGCATTGGCTTAGGGCCTTTGGCCGACCATATATATGAATGAGTGAGATCAACTTATTTTAAGAATAAATTTTTTACCTTATTCTAATTCATAACTTTTGAATTAATCTAATATAATAATTAATTAGAATTTTTATTTAATTAATTATTATATTATATTAAATTCAAATACTATTGTTTTAAGGTAAAACAAACTTATTCTTTGACTAAGTTAATTTCATATAGAATAAGTTTGGCACTAAAACCGGCATAAAAGTGTGGTGGATTAATTATTTTTTAATGGAAATGAATAGACCGAACGCCTACATTTTTTGGTTTCTTCTTTTAGAAATAAAAAGGAAAAGGCACCTGCAATTTTGTATTCTGATTCACCTTAAATTTCCACTTTCGGTCGTTATAAAGCAACTAAAATTAAAAAATGATATATCTAATGATAGAAAGTTTATAAATATCTTAAACAGTTTTAATTTTGGCTCCAATATGTTTGTGTTGAAGACTTCAACTACATGTAAATAGTCCTCAACTTGATTTTATTGCTTTCCCTTTTGTATTTGTGGCCATATATACCCTTCCTCTGTCAAAGGATTTGTTTTTTTATTTATTTTTTATAGAAGATAAATTTAATTTTATTAAGAACATTTCTTTACTTTAATAGTAGAAAATTAAAAAGATAAATACCCTCATCTTTATTCATGAATTATCATGTCTAACTTGAAAATAACCAACAGGTACCACCCATTACCCACATGAATCAATTATTTGGACCTACTTTAGCACTCCCAATATAAAGAATTGTTTGACTAGAGCCAAGGAAATCAAAACTATATAAATAAATATAGAAATAAGTAAACCCAAGTTGATTCTATTAATAAATATTCAATTATGTTCTGTTAAATCAGCTTAAAATAAATAAGAATGTGGATTTCAACTGCTGAGATTTTACTTATTCGTCTTTTTATTTTATAGGTGTACTTGAATTAAAGATTTTATCAATAGGTAAGGTAAATTTTCCTCTTTAACAATTTGAAGTCTTGAGATTTTCTCCCACTTTGATAAACTCTTAGGAGTTGGGACCCAATTGACCTAATTATTTTATATAGAAAAAGTGTATTGAAAAGACAGCAATGGCCCATGCAATTCCCAAACGAGGACTTCACATGATCTAAATAGACCAATAAATGCTATTGCCTTTAAATAGAAACAAGGCACATAAAAAATACCAATAGTGAGAACCATACATTTATCATCACCAAAACTAAAGATAGAGAGAGCAATATAGAAAGAAAAAAATTCATCATGAAAGGTTATGAACCAAGGTCAAGTTCCTCTTGTGCAGCCTGCAAGTTTCTGAAAAGAAGATGCATACCAAATTGTATATTCGCACCCTACTTTCGCGCCGACGAGTGCAAGAAATTCGCGAAAGTCCACAAAGTTTTCGGAGCAAGCAATGTGAGCAAGATTCTGATTGAAGTTCCGGAGGAACAACGGGAAGAAACTGTGAATTCTTTGGCTTATGAAGCTGATGCTAGGCTTAAAGATCCTGTTTATGGATGCATAGGTGCTATAGCAATTTTGCAGAGGAAGATGGTTGAACTTCAACATGATCTTGCTATTGCCAAGGATCGCCTCGCTTGTTGCGCTGCTGTTGCTGCTACTGCTGCTGCGACTCCAAGTTCTTCTTCGAATGATTTGATGAATTCTAATGTTAGTTTGCCGCCTTTTCCTGAGTTTTTCTCTTGCAGTGATTTCAATGATAATTTTAGCCACAGTTCTTCGTCTCAATCGTTTAGTCGAAACGAAACGGTGGATGATATCTTTCAAATTCCTTATATATTTTGATCTTGTTGTTGTCACCACTTTTTTACTCTTGTGATCTAATTGTTCTAAATTGTGTGATCAATCAAAAAGAAGTGCTTCTGTTTGTATATGCTAATAAATAAAAACTATATGAATGAATTTGTTTTCCAATCACTAGAAACTTCTAGAAAATGATCATATTCATGGTCTATTTAGTTTCACTCAACCTTGATTGGAGTTGTATCAATTGTATTTGAATGTGATTCTCTGTAATATCAAAATCTGATATTGTTAGTTTCAACTCTAATTTCCAACTCTGACTCTCACAGTTGTATAGATAAATTTTTAGTAATTATTACTGCTTCGTCTACGGATAAAAAAATCGAGATGCGGAATCAATTCAGAACCTTAGATATGCAACCATGAAATTAAGCTTTTTAACGCTTGTTTTGATAAGTCTCTTATATCTAATTCCTAATAATACATCAGTTATAGCCAATAACTAAATTGTAACAAACTGTAACAGAATGGTAACTAACTCTAACCAACGCAAAGCAGATGCTATGTAGATTTGTAACTAACTCTAACCGACTTTTCCAGATACTTCCGGATCTGTTTATAACTGGAATTTCGAGTTCTACAACATTCAATTTTGTAACCGATTTTAACACGAAATCAAAACAAATTGAGAATGCAAAACTCTTTCAATTTTGATATAGACAATGGTTCAGAGCAAATTCAGAATTTATTGCCACTACCAAAGTTACAATAAACATCATTTATTATAAAGACAGAAACACTGGTGGTTTGATTCTTTACTCACGTTTTGAAAGGTTTCTCAGAATGGAATAAGAAGTGGATGTAACTGTACTGTTTTATTGAAGAATGCAAAACTCATTGTGATTTTCTGAATGTGAAACCCCACCAATTGTACTATGTCATGGGAATCCAAAGACTAATGTTTAGAATTAGACCATAAAAGGTTTGAACGGTTTCTTTTGCACATCAAGACCAACAACACCACATGGCCCAAAGTAAAACACCTGCCAAATAAATACATTTAATGATCTCTTACACCCCATGTTGGTGTGTTGCATTTTCTGCATACATATTGTAAGCCATTCAAAAATTTGACTTTATTGATTGATTGGTTTCATTGTTTAGGTTTTTTTATTGAATCAGTATAGAAAAGGGAATAGCTCAAATTAGTTTTTATACAATTTATTACAAAGCTTATTTGATGCATGTTGAGGTAGAATTTTTTTTGAAAGATATGTAATCCTCAAGTCCTAGCTATATCAAAAGAAGTTAATATTCAAGGTTGTTATGTAATTTTTTTTATTGGTTATTATCAGTTCAATTATAATAAAAACAATTGAAAGATATGTAATGCATGATTGATTGTCTTTTTATTTTACTATATATATTTTAATATTTTTTACTTTTTTTAAAATTTAATTATTAGTCACAATTGTGTTGGTGTTGGAAAGTTTAATAACATGAGAGAAGAGACAAATACATTAGTAATTATTTTACTGTAGGAGGGGATATGTAGTATGACTAAATATTAAATATTATAGATGTTAGAGTGATTTACTTAAATTTTTTAAAAAATTTAATTGATATACACTTATAATTGTAAAAAAAAAATTATACAGTCATGTAATTACAACTGTTAATTTATTTAAAGTTCTATTTAAAAAATAATACTAATAAATGATTGTGATGTATTGATAAAGTAAAATTTTTTACACTGACAATGTGTAATAATTAATCTTTTTTTAAAATTATTTTAAACATTTGAATTATGTTTCTGTATAAGATTTTTTTTTAAAAGTATATATGATACAAATAATTTGGATATTTTTGTTTGTTTAAAATTATAAAAAGACCTTTACAGAAAATTGTATTAGCCCTTCTATTAAAAATGATTTATTTTAAATGGTGATCAAAATAATGCCATACTAAGTATACAAATTGCACAAACATAATTAAAATATCAATAAAAATATTTGAAGAATTTTAAACAAATAAATTGTATATATACCTCAAAAGATTTGAATGCAATTGCACTCATATTTGTGTATTTATAAATGATTGAAAATGTTTTTAAAAGTTTGCAAATTTTCTTTTAATGGATATAAGCTGATATTATTAGCTTGTAAGTCATCGTCATAATTTAAATTATAATATTAATGATTATGTAAGAGTTTTTAATGCTTATTCTTACTTTAAAAAGTGTTTTTAGAAGTAAAATAATCTAAAATTTGTTAGTTTTTTTTGTTATATTATAATAGAAATTTCTAGCTACAACTTAAGCAATATTAGAAAAATCTAAAAATATGCAACAACTTTAAGTTGTATATTCTAGTTTTGTAACAATAATTGAAAGCAATTTTGATATCATTGTTAGAAAATGTAATATGAGAATTGAGAGTTAGTCTTGGAATGTTTAACAATTTAGTTTTTTTTTTGTGAATGAAAAAATGTACTATACTGAAACTTTCAATGTTTAATATTACATCTTAAAATATTAGAATGAAAAATTGCAGCGATGTTTCTCTATTTATACTCCTAGTTGCTTGAATAAGTTTGTAGAAGTAAAATGATATATGCTTTTTGTTTGCCATACTACAATACATTATGATAGATGTTTCTTCAACAATCAATAGGGTGCTGGAAGAGTTGGTAATATAAACCTATCCTAAGAAATGAACTCGATTCTTAAAGTCGTCAAATCTTAATTAAAAGACAAAAAAAAAAAAATGTTATCAAATCAAGGACTAGTCTTTAGTGGGGCTATAAAAGTCTATATGTATGTAGTTACTGTGAATAAGGGTTTGTTCCTAGAATAAGGGTTTGTTTCTAGAATAAAGGAAACAAATTAGAAATTGACTTGTTCTCATTAAAATGTAATTATTTAGTGTAATTACCAATATAGCCCTGTAACCTCTATATATACGAGAAATAATAATGAGAAAAGGATTAAGCCAAGAATTCTTGACATGGTATCAACCTCGTAGATCAAACCTGTGATTTCCTGGTTCTGATTTTTTTCTCTCTTGGTTCTGTGACAACACCCTGATCAATTCAGTTTGTTGTTTCTTCGTTTCTGCTTCTTGATCGTTCCCCGTGGAATTCGTTTAGCGTCGATTGCCATCGTGATTCTGGGTTTAGGGCTTCGGCTTACTTCGGTTGTTTGCGATCCTCCTTTCACGAATATTGATTCTAGGTCGTGACCGGTGTGTTTTTCGTGGTTATAATTTTGTTTTAATTTGGTTTGTGGTTATAATTTGGTTCCGCCGCTAATTCCAAATTGAAACATTGGAATTGTTACGGCTTCACGAGTGGTACTGTTCTTGGGATATATTGGTGGTACTGCACGAGCTTTGTTCCTTTTGGTTGCAGGTTGTTATTATAATAATAATAAGTATTATAATAATTATTATTATTATAGTAATACATCATCTAATTACAACATAATTTCAATGGCTTCCGAAAAAGAAAGAGATAACTTCTGTGTTCGTTTCACCGGCAAGAATTATTCGGCTTGGGAATTTCAATTCAAGATGTATGTTAGAGGAAAGGGATTATGGAGTCACTTAGATGGTGTTTCTAAGGCCCCGACGGATAAAACTGCTTCAGATGTATGGGAAACTCAAGATGCTCAAATCATCACTTGGATTCTCAATAGTATTGATCCTCAGATGATAAATAATTTGCGCTCCTTTTCAACTGCTCAAGAAATATGGAATTATCTGAAGCGCATTTACAACCAGGACAATTCGGCAAAACGTTTTCAATTGGAGCTAGACATAGCCAACTACAAACAAGGTGACCTACCTATTCAAGAATACTATTCTGGTTTTCTGAATCTCTGGACAGAACACTCTGCTATTATACATGCTAATGTTCCCAAAACCTCTCTCACTGCTGTTCAAGAGGTCTACGACACAAGTCGGCGAGATCAATTTCTCATGAAACTTCGTCCAGAATTCGAGATTGTTAGAGGCGCTTTGCTCAATAGGAATCCTGTTCCTTCTTTGGATACTTGTGTCGGTGAACTTCTAAGGGAGGAACAACGTCTACTTACGCAAGGAACCATGTCTCATGATGCTGTTAGTTCCGAACCTGTGGCAATTGCATATGCTGCTCAAAGTAGAGGAAAGGGTCGTGATATGCGACAAGTTCAATGTTTTTCTTGCAAACAATTTGGACATGTAGCTCGCAATTGCAGTAAGAAGTTTTGCAACTATTGCAAACAACAGGGTCATATCATCTCTGACTGTCCCACACGTCCTCCCCGACCAGTACAACGTCCAACTCAAGCATTCCATGCCACTACCAACTCTGAAGTTGGTCCTCTCAGTACGGGTACCGGTAGTGTTCTACAACCTGAAATGATTCACCAAATGGTACTTTCTGCTCTTTCAGCCTTGGGAATTCAGGGTAAGTCTTCTAATAATTCTCAATCATGGTTTCTTGATTCTGGTGCATCCAATCACATGACGGGTTCCTCTAAATACTTACAAAATGTACATTCCTATAATGGTAATCAGCAAATTCAAATTGCTGATGGTAATAAACTTTCTATCACTGATGTTGGTGACATAGACTCAAACTTTCGTGACGTGCTTGTATCACCCGGACTTGCTTCCAACTTATTGTCGGTTGGTCAATTGGTGGATAACAATTGTAATGTTAGTTTTTCTCGTGTTGGTTGTCTTGTGCAGGAGCAGGTGTCGGGAAAGGTGATCGCGAAGGGGCCTAAAGTGGGAAGATTGTTTCCACTCCAGTTTAGTTCTAGTCATTTATCCTTTGCATGTAATACTGTTTTGAACTCTTATGAGGATTGGCATAGAAAATTAGGCCATCCAAATTCTGTTGTTTTGTCTCATTTATTTAAAACTGGTTTGTTGGGAAATAAACATGCGTGTACTACTCCTATTTCATGTTCTGTTTGCAAATTGGCTAAAAGTAAAATCCTCCCTTTTCCGTCAGGCGCTCATCGTGCTTCTAATTGTTTTGAGATGATTCATAGT